TGGAAAGCTTTTGAAAGTAAGGCTTTTATGTATTTTGTTATGCCAACTGAGTCTGATGTCTCCCAATACTATGGTCCTGAGTCGGTAGATCTGTTGGATCTCTCTCCCACAGTGTCTGGCTGTCTGTGAGGGATTACTCTATGTCTGTCTTCTGTTGTTTCTGTAAGGATTGCAGTTATTTTGTATCACTGGTATCTTTGCAAGATAAGCCTTTACTGAATCTATCCTTGGTCTAAGGCACTTGACTGCTAACCAGAAGGCTGGCGGTTCAAACCCACCAGCCACTCCCCGGAAGGAAGATGGGGCAATCTACTTCCGTAGTGATACTGCCTTGGAAACCCAAGAAGGGGTCGCTATGAGTCAGGTCCGACTCGATGGCACATAACAACAACAACAACATCCTTGGTCTAGAGTATACGCCTGTTCACTGACCCCCATCTGATCTTCTGAGAGGTTTATGTGTTTATCTGTAGCCTGGTGTTTGGTGTTAATGGTGATGCAGTATTGTGGACACACTGGTTGGTATTAGTATCTGTTGTCTAGGTATTATGTGCACAATTCAGTGTCCTTCCTTTTCCTAATGCTATCATGGTAGTTCTGGACTCTTTCTATACATCCTTCCCCTTACCCACGCCAGCGTGTGGCCCCCAACAGGTCCAAAATCAACCCCTCCCCTTCCTCTCCACCCCGGTAATCTACAAAGTGAGTTCCCTTTCTCAAGCAAACCTTTCTTTTCACAGTAATGGGCTTATGCAGCATTTGTCCTTCTGCGATTAACTCATTTCACTCAGCATAATGTCCTCATCAAGCATAATGCTATGTTTGAGCTCGTTGCAGCTATTGTGTCAATCCATCTTATTGAGGATCTTCTTCTTTTTCCTTGACCCTCTACTTTACTGAGCATGATGTCCTTCTTCAGGGACTGATCTCTCTGGATAACATGTTGAAATACATGAGAAAAAGTCTTGCTATATTTGCTTCTAAGGAGCATTCTGGCTGTACTTTTTCCAAGACAGATTTGCTTGTTCTTCTGGCAGTCCATGGTATATTCAGTATTCCTCACCAGCAGCATAATTAAAAGGCATCAATTCTTCTTTGATCTTTCCCATTCATTGTTCAGTTATTGTACATATATGAGGTGGCTTGAAATACCATGGCTTGGGTTGGGCTCCAGGAGCACTAGTGGTGCAGTAGTTAAAGTATTTGGCTGCTAACCAAAGGTTGGTGGTTCAAACCTACCAGCTGCTTCATGAGAAAAAGATGAGGCAATTTGCTTCTGTAAAGACTTACAGACTTGGAAACCCTATTGGACAGTTCTACTCCGTCCTATAGGGTCCCTAGGAGTAGGAATACACTCGATGGCAACTCTTGGTTTGGGTTTGGGTTGGGCATACCATAGTCTTCAAAGTGACATCTCTGCTTTTTAACACTTTAAAGAGGTCTTTTTGGAGCAGATTTGCTCAGTGCAATATGTCCTATGATTTCTTGACTGCTGCTTCCATGAGTACTGAATGTGGAGTCAAGTAAAATGAAATCCCTGACAACTTCAATCTTTTCTCCATTTATCATGATATTATTTATTGGTCCAGTTGTGAGGAATTTTGTTTTCTTTATGTTGAGGTGTAATCCATACTGAAGGATGTAGTCTTTGATCTTCATTAGTATGTACTTTCAAGTCCTCTTCACTTTCAGCAAGCAGGGATGTGCCATTTGCATATTGTAGGTTGTTAATGAGTCTTCCTCCAGTCCTGATCTCATGTTCTTCTTCATATAGTCTAGCTTTTTGGATAATTGGCTCAGCATACAGATTAAATAAGTATGGTGAAAGGACACTACCCTGACACACATTTTGTATCATCTGCATCCATAGGTATAAAGGTTAGAATTCCAACACATATTTTGAGAGGACACAATATAATCCCTAACAGTAGCCAACATATCCTCTTGGATGTTGGGACTACCCATACATTAGCCTACCTAAATTCTCATGATAATTGTTACTGAATCCTGGGATATTTCACCACATTCATCCCTCTCTAGAGACTATCAGTGGCATATTCCTGTGGTGGCTGATGAGAGTAAATATGACATTTAGTTAAAAATAGAAGCTCTGGAATTCTTCTATTTAACACTGATAGCCTTAAATGCCAACTCTGAAATCAACTTGGATGATCATTAATCTGATTTCTCTTGCTTTTGCATTTGACTTATATGCTCTTGGGCGTTAAAAATGTTTTCCATGTTTTTAAAGGAAGGGCTTCTGTTTGCCCCAAACAGTAACCCTTACATATATCATATGTGTAAGATTATACAGTTTGACTCTTCACTACCTTCTTCCAGAGAGTTGGTGCTCTTATGTATGATGAGTCTTGAAATAAGAGAAACAGCTTAAGGATGGACTTCTTTTCACTTCAGTTCAACAGAATTGCCTTGTAATGCTGTCCGTCTAAGTTTGTTTTTGCTCCAACCTGTAGATTTTGCTTTCCACCCTTAAGGATCAAATAATCACATTTATTTAAAAATACATTTCTGATTGTCAGTAAAGGAAGCTACAAAAGGCACTCAGGGAAGAAATGCAAGGTGTGCATAGTGGCCTTGAAGAAGAAGAATGGATCAATGCCCTTGTGTATTTGCTAGTTAATCAGCATCTTTTCATTGAGGCCAAAAAAAAAAAAAAAAACCCAAACTCACTGCCATCAAGTTGGATCCAACTCATAACAACCCCTCCTTGGGTTTCTGAGGAGTATCACTACGGAAGTAAATTGCTCAATCTTACTTCTGAGGTGTGGCTGGTGGGTTTGAACCACCAGCCTTCTGGTTAGCAGTCAAATGCCTTAGGCACCACACCACCTGAGCTCCCCACTGAGCCCTAGAGGAGGAATTACTTTATAGATGATTATCTTCATTAATCAACTATAATCAGGCCTTCCTAGAATGATGAAGTATTTAAGCTTTGTTCACTGGTACAGATCATAAATAATTGTTTCCAGACTGTTGGCCAAACAGCTGTAGGAGATTTTACATTGGCCATACGTACTCAAGGTCTTTGAGGCACTTTCCTTCTATAAACAATGCAGATATTTTATTACTATAGTTCAGTTGAAATTTTTAAGAAACTTTAAATCTGTTAGGATTTTTTTTCTTTTAGTGTCCACTTAGGGTGGTGATGGAGACTGTGTAACATGAAAGAGCCTTGCCTTCCTGCAGTAGAGGCCCAGGGCTCTTTCATCTCAGTCTGAATCCTGTCCCACTGCTGCTTGAGGATTTGGAGTGTGTAAAAGTCCTGGGCTTTTTAATTATGTTTAAGCCTTTTAAGAAGCCTGCACCATGAAGGCAGAGATGGAAACATGTGCACGGAAATGTTTTATATCCAATTTGAGGATTCAACCGAAGGTCTCCATTTGGACCAAGACGAGCCTCCAAACAGATCAAAGATAGCATAGAGTTGAGGGAAACTTTGTTGGGAGTAAAGTGGCAATATTTTATGAGAATAATGTTGCTTTAGTTGTATAAAAATAGCATCAGAGGAGTAGACAACAAAGGGAAACAATTATTCTGGTTTCTATCATCCAAATTAATCAACTATATTCATATTTTTTAAGTTTAATTTAAAAATTTGTAAATATATATACCTATTTTATACCATTATAATGTGTGGAATATCTTATATTGGACTTTCAGCTTTAAAACTTCACATTATGTGAAAAGCATTTTCCATATTGTTATGTAGTCCAATCAAATATTTCAAATGGCTGGATAATATTCCATACAGTTCCTGTACCACCATTAATTTAACCACTCACCAGTGGTGGGACTTTTAGATTGTGTACATGTTTTCAGTCATAATAAGGCTCATGAATATAGTCATATAATTTTTTTTTTTTTATTTCTTTGGGTGTATTTTCATAGTGAACATTCCAGAAATTTGGATTACTAGGATAAAGATTATCAATATTTTTAAGCCTTAAGGTATATAATCAAACATTGATTTCAGGAAGAGTAATACCAATTGACAATGACCCCAGTAATCTCATGCAAGTTCATCAGCAGTAGGTATTATCTGAATTCTTTTTTTAAGCAAATTAAAAATTGTTTTGGGAGAAAATAAGAGTTTCCTCAGAGGTGTTTCTCTTATAATATACATAAACTTGGAAAAATTGGTATTCTAGGAAAAATATACATACCTCACTGTTGACAAGCGGCTAGCATATTTAAGGAAAAGAGAGGTTGGAAAAGGCATGGCAAATACCCTTGTCTCCAGAAGTCACCAGTTTGAAGCACATGCATTTATCTGTCTGCCTCAGGAAATTACAGTTGCCGCTTATATCACTGTGGCAAGGGAGAACAGTAAGGGCTAGCAACATCCAAGAGAATACTCAGCTTGTTTCTGCAGTGCCTGAAAGCAACATTAATGAAGGCATCATGAAAATCCTGTTGTTGTTAAGTGCTGTGGAGTCGAATCCAACTCATAGCGACCCCTCCTTGGGTTTCTGAGGCTATATCACTACGGAAGTAGATTGACCAACCTTCCTTCCAAGGAGTGACTGATGGGTTTGAACCACCAGCCTTCTGTTTAGCAGTCAAGTGCCTTAGGCAGTACACTACCAAAGCTCCCCATACAGTATTCCTCAGTTCCACTGAAGTACAACCACAGTCCTTTTCCTTAACATAGCTGCATGTCCCCCTAAAACTTGTATCACTGGGTAATACAGCTCAAATATTTTTGGAATCAAGAGAGAACTTTGTACAGATTCCTATGAAAAATCAAACGTTTGGAAGACTTCAGTGGTTAAGATAAGGCTTGAGTTTATTTCAGGTTACTGGTGTGTGAGGTTAACTGGAAGAAAATGATGCCTCTGATCTGCTAGGCTGGCTTTTTGGAGCACTGCATCAGAGATGCTCATGCCCCCTTTCTCTTTTTCTAGCTGTCTAAGCCTAGCTATAGCCACCAGATTCACCTGCTGAATCTTGCATTTGCTGATGGCATGATTTCATTTCAGGTTCTTATCTACAATGGCCAACTGGACATCATTGTGGCTGCTTCTCTGACAGAGTGCTCCTTGATGGCCATGGACTGGAAAGGATCCCAGGAATACAAGATGGCAGAAAGGAAAGTTTGGAAGATCTTTAAATCCGACGATGATGTGGCTGGCTATGTGCGGCAAGTTGGTGACTTCTATCAGGTATGGAGATAGTGGGGGAGCACGTGGCTTGTGGGAATGGGATGGTGGATGAAAATAAAGCCTGCATATCAATAAGTCATGATGGGTTTCAAATAGAGTCTTCAACAGGCAGAATGTCTTCTGCATTCCTACTCTCCATGGACAGTAGTGGTCTGAGGTCACATTAGCGTACTCAGACAAAAGTTTCAGTATTGTTCAAGAGATAAGGAGACAATTGAAAGACAATTCTCAGGTGTATTAGTTTCCTAGGGCACATATTTAGTGGCTTATGACGACCGAAATTGATTGTCTTACAGTTCTAGAGGCTAGAAGCCCAAATTCAGGATTTGCACAGGGCCATGTACTCTCTAAAGTCTCTAGGGGAAGGTCTTTCTTTGTGTCTGTCAGCTTTCAGTAGGTCCAAGCATTCCTTAGCTCATCTCTGTATCTCTTCTCTTTTATAAGAAGTCATTCAGCTTGGATTAGGACGCACCCTACCTACTTCAGTATGACTTCATGTTAACTAATAACTCTTCAGAGATGTAATTTTCAAACAAGGTCACATTCACAGGTATGGGAGTTAGAACTTCATCTTATCTTTGTGGAGGACACAGTTCAATCCATAACACCAGCCCCCAAATGGTGAATCATTAATGGTAGAATTACAGACTGTTTGGCAGCAAAGAGAAACTTGAAAACTTATCTGTAGATGGTTCAACATAATCTCTTCTGAAAAATCTATGATTATGTTATTGTATTACATGTGAAGCCCCAGGACAAAATCTCTCTGGCCACGCTCTATAACAGAAGAACCACAAAGTTGTGACCTTAACAGCCATCCCCCAACTCAGTGAGCAGTACCATGGTTGCTGTAAGCTATTCCCTAGGGATCACAGGAGCCTTCTGAAGGCCTTGGTTTCTCAAAGATGAACAGGGATTCTTCCAGAATTACGTGATTATTATACCATTCACCCCTAGAAAGTTTTTAGAAAAATTAAGAAAACCCCTAGTCAAGAGGAGGAATTTAAATCTTCCAGATTTGATTTTTTTTCCCCCAGTTTTTTAAATTGAGACAAT